GTCTGGAGCCCGCGACCCCCGAAGCCGGCTGCCGGCTCCGCGCCCCGCTCCCCCGAAAGCGGGGTTCGGACGCGGTGCCCGCGGCTCTCGAGGTCCCCGCCCGAGGGCCGAAGTCCCCGGGTCCCCGGGTCCCCTTCCCCAGCGGGTTCGCGCGTCCGCGTCCAATCCACTGCGGGCCAAAGCGGCTTCTTAGATAAACGTCGCCGCGACCACGACGGGCCAGAAGCCGACGCCTGCTATTTTATTTAAACTACACACCCGCGGGCGTGCGATGAAAGCAAACCGTTATTTCTCCCATTGTACAGACAGGGAGACTGCGACTCGGGACCCACGGCAGGTGGCTACAGCACGATTCCACTCTGGTTTTGTCTGATGCCAAATCCGGTTGAATTTTCCCCTTAACCAGTGCTTGTCTTTAATCTTCAGAATTCTAATTACTCGCAATTCATCAGAAAAAGAGCTTCGTCCTCATTTAAGGAAATAGAAGGGAAAAAACTCGAGCAGGCACGGCTAGTGATTTTTCCCTCTTATTCCTTGCATTTGAAATGAAGCGCCGAAGGCCCGCGCATCGGAGCTAAGCCTCGTTCCAGGACAAGGAATGCAAGTCTTTTCGGGATAATCAATGAACTAAACCTTGTGTAGAGGGAGACAGCCTGGTGATGGACGCTCACTGGGCCCAGGGATCGGGTTATGCTTGAGTCTGCGATGGAGGGAAGCGACCTCAAGGAAGACACTTTCTCTTTGGAGCTTAAAAGTTTTCCTGCAAGCGAAGAGCCCGGTCTTGGCATCTCTCCTGGCATCAAGGAAAGGCGCGGGCTCCGAACGCGCCAAGTACAGTGGAGAACGAGCGCCACCTAGCGGGCACCGGGTTCGACAGCGCGGCCTGCGGACAGCAGGGCCCGGAGCAACGCTGCAGCCGCGGCCTTGGGGTCTCTGCGCAGGCTCCCCGCGTGCCTGCCCTGCGTTCTCCAAGAGGCACGGTGCGGGGCACGTGCTCTGGGTGTTTTATTGGAGCCATAGGAGGGTTTATTGAGGCCTCATTTATTCATGATACCAAGGCGGTACTTTGCCCCAACCGTCAGTGTTCAGGCATTGCAAACCAACCTGTCTGGACCATCGGGTTTGTTCTCCCATTTCTCAGCCCGGAGGCCTACGAGGGGGTGGGTGGATGGACGAGCTCTCTGGGAGCCGGGAGCCGCTCAGGAGGAGAGGAGCAGGTGTGAGCAGATGCGGGTGCTGGCTGCGGCTGCCTGTGGCGTTACTGAGAAGTGAAACCCGAGGACACTCTTCCGGATTGAGGAGGCTTCCGTCTCCAGGAAACTGTCCTCGGCCTTCACAGTGTTTGTCGGTTCGTCTTCATGTTCAGCTCTTGTCTCTGTGGTCTCAGGCACTGCTGTAGGCTCTAGAGGTAAAAACCTTTCTTTGTTTGTTTGTTGTTGTTGTTGTTGTTTTTCTTCCAGTACCAGGAGTTGAACTCACGACCTTGCGCTTGCCAGGCAGGCGCTGTGCCGCTGAGCTAAATCCCCAGCCCCTAGAGGGAAAAACCTTGTAAGTCCTCTCAGCTGGCTCAGATCCTAGCAGGGGAACCATCGGTAGACAGGCACCTGAATAAAGCCGTGGGAAGACTGCAGAGACAGAGGGGTGCCCTAGAGAAAAAGCAGAGCCAGGGCTTCACTTTATACAGCGTTAGATTCAAAGCGGGAAAAGACACCTTGGGAAGCTGGGCGTGGTAATGCACGACTGTAATCCCAGTGGCCCAGGAGCTTGAAGCAGGAGGATCGAAAGTTTGAGCTAAAGCTGGGCACGAGATTCCTGCCTCAAAAAATAAAAGTAGGTCTGGTGATGTAGCTCAGTGCAAAGGCCCTGGGTTCAATTCCCAGTAAAAAAGAGAGAGAGAGACAGAGAGAGACAGAGAGAGAGAGAAAAGAAAAAAGATACCTTGTGAAAATGAGTAAATTTGACATTTCAGGGCTTTCCAGAGACAGAGGCAGAGACTGTCACAGAGAGGGAAGTGGATGCAAAGAATGCTCCACTGAGGTTTGGTGTTTGTGTCCCCTCAAAATTCCTATGTCGCAGTTATCACCTGCACTGTGACGCTGACAGAACGTGAGCCCTCTGGAAGACAGTGGGGTCATAAAGATGGAGCTCGTCTGAATGCGGTCAGTGCCGCTATAGGAAGACGCAGGGTAGAGCCCTCTCTGTCTCTGTCTCCACCTCTGCCCACCCCCACCCCAGTGATGATAGAACAAGAAAGTGTCTGTCCGCAAACACTGCAACGACTGGCTCCTTGATGTGGGACCGCCAAGCCTTGTGAGCTGTGGGAGACAAGTGTTTGTCACCGAGGTCATCCAGTCACGGTGTTCTTAGAAAAGCCCTGACTGACAAAGACAGTCACAGTGTGTCTGCAGACCCAACGGCACGCTTCTGACCAGAGCCTGGCTGGGGAGGGGCGGTGATAAGAGCTGGAGTCCAAGGCATAATCAGATCAAGCAGGTTTTTGTAACCCACAGGAAGGAGTGTGAGTCTCATTCTAGGTATGTTGGGAAACCACAGGGATATTTTTAAGCAAAGAGGTAACTGATTATGATTTGTATTTTTGAAATAATAC